TCACGAAAGGTAGCAAATGAATCAATTGTGGGATCAGTACTGCTGGAGTGCATAGTTAAGTACAGAGTAAATCAAATATTTGAACAAATTTAAATATATACGCTGTGTGACGTATATTTGCGCATGCTCAGAGCAGTCAAAGTAACTATCACAAGGCGATTGAACTTTTTTATGTATTTCTGTTTTTTTATTTTTAGAAAATGCAATATTGACGAAAATACAAAGATATACAAAAAGAAACCCATGCCTCTAAAAAATACAAAAGAATAAAAAAGTAAGAAAAAGGAAATATTGCCACCTGAAGTTATTCTGTTAGTGCAAAGGAGCTGATGGTATGGATCGTGCTTCCCGTACGGATCGGGTAATGAAAGCACCCAACAATTTTAGTTTTTGTTTTTTTTTCCTTTCATGGAGTTGCCATTGGTGTCTGAGTTGAGCTTGATTCTGAGTATCCCCAAAATCCATCGAGTAACATTTGCTTGTTTGCTCGTTTGGTCCCATTTAACATGGATGGCTTGTCGTCCCCTCCGCCAAACAGCATGGGAGCTTCAAGCTGAAGTAAATTCAGGAAAAAAGGGTAGAGGCTCATAGACGCATCAACACATAACTACTGAGATATCAGTCTGCTCATAAACTTAAATCTTTTAGTCCTGAAGGGTCAAATAAAAAAGCCATTCTAATAATATTCTTCAGTAAAACTTTACAAAATGTTTCCTTAGCATTGACATTAGCCTTAACAACCCACAGAGACTGGGATGTTGTGATACCGCGAGTCTTTTGTAATTATGGTTTTAATTTAAATACAGACGGAATATATATTTGTATTGCATTAAACTATATATTAAGATAATTTTTTCTGGTATGAAATAATACTTCAAGTTTTTAATAACAGATCATAACCAAAACTATTGCATTTTCGCAAATATCTGACCTGTCGACTGCTTTTAAACATATTGTTATCATTGGAAAAAATTAAAATTAAGGATTTAGTTTTGAATGACAGAAATGTGAAAAAGATGTTCAGCCTTATACTTATATTCATTTACAAAAAGTCTGTGAAGAACAGAGTACTCTAAGCTTTTGGTCAGAATGCAGCCACCAAGTTTCGGTTGTTCTTTAAGTTTCTTTTTTAGCATTGCTATAAAAAAAAAACGTATTTCAAAAAGGTATCCTCAAATGCCGAGCCTGTTATGGGACTTGTTTTGTGTTCACCCTGTAATTCTTCCTCTTGCTGAAGCATAGCCAGCCAGGCTTGTGTCTGTTTGCCTTGAAGCTGACCTTAAAGTGTTCATGCAAGCCAACTAAGTGCCCGAGGGTGAAAATACAGTCGTCCCCTGTGCCAGGAGCTTGCATTGAGCCACGCTCATAGGCTTCAAAGAGACCACAGATTCTCAGACTGACACGAAAATAGGGAAAACCCTGTTCTACTTTTGACACTGGAGAGTTGAGTACAAGGTATTCACCCCTCCTGATTTATTGATGCAACCAGGCCAGGATGCAGAGAATATTTGGAGCGAAAACAAGTGCAGTCTACAAAGGGAGTGACCGAGGATACATCCAGCAGGCGAGACAAATAAAAGTTAAAGAGGTGGGGAAGGAGGATGATGAGAGTGTTTATGTATTATTAACCAGCAAGGTTCTTAGATTATTTACAACAGCTGGAGGAGGGGGATCCGTATTGGCTGCTGCACAGACTCTCAGGCTCAGAGGGAAGCTCAACCACATTCTTAAGAAATGGCAGCATCATCTGTGGTGGTTAATATAATGAAATGTCAGAAACCATTAGAGCAAGGAAGAGTGGGAGAGTGGGTTTGGAACAAAGGTCAGATTACTGTACAACTGTAACACAACGCTTTAACTTTACTGTCTGTGTTCTTTGCCAAACTTTGACATTTTACTATTTAAAAAGTTCCCCTTAAAATAGAAATCTAATCTATTAACATTATCACCCTGAATACCTCTTTGTCAAAAAAAATAAAAATCACATTGACTGATGATACACAACCATCCTTTACTGGATAAGTGTCTAAATCGGTTCTTCTGTTTCCAGTACCCTGAGAAGACTATTCCAGAAATGTTTTTCCTCTAGAGCATTTTCCTATAGATTTAGTAAATATGTCTCTCCCTGGACTGTGTTACTTTTTCTGGTTGTAGTAAAATATAAAACTGTAAAACAAAAATATCCCTTTTGTTTTCAGATTTTGAAACACCTAAAGAGAAAAACCCAACTACCTATAAATTGATACAATCTAGTCCAGACAGTATTGAGCAGGGATCACCAAGGTAGTGCCCACGGGCATCTAGGGACCCTCAAGGATCACATGGTGTGCCCTCAGAGTTTTCTGAAAATAGTACAACTCACCAGTCGCCCGACTTTGAAATTTTATTTTATTCTGTTTCACTTCTTTTTTTAACTATAGAGCATTTTATTATATTAGTCATGTACAGAATTTATTCCTTTATGGATATTTGAAAATTACATGAAAAAGTGTCTAAAAGAAATAATAATAATAATAATAATAATAATAATAATAATAATAATGGTGAAAAAAAGAAAAAAGGCATTAGTTTGAAACAGTCAATGCTGGCAGTGCACAATAATGATGTTGTAAAATGCAGTAAATGTGTGTACCTTTAAATTAGAATTGGCAGTGCAAAACAATCATACAAAATGGCCATGCAGTTCAAATCTGTGAATAAGTGATGCAGAGTCCAGTTTAGAGTTAAACAGTTCTAACAATCTGATGGAAATTAGGAAAAATCTGCTGCAGAATCTGCTGGACCTGCAGCAGATCCAGCGAAGCCTCTTCCCAGAGGGGAGCAGGGAGAACAGTCCATGGTGGGGGTATGAGGGGTCACTGATGATATTACGGGCTGGGGACACACAGCGCTGGGATGAAATGTCTTTAATGGAGGGAAGAGGAGCCCCAATGATCCTCTCTGCTGTCCTCACGACTCTCCTCATGGTGTTCATAGTCCAGGAGATATTTTCTGTGATGTGCATCCCCAGGAATTTGGGGCTACTGACCACCTCTACAGCTTAGCTGTTGATGGGCAGTGGAGCGTGGCTGGGCCGGTAAGTTTAAAGAAAGGTTATTAACCAATCAAAATATCAGGTTAACAGGATAGAATTGATCCTCTACCGAGTAAGGCCAGTGCTGATTAACAAATTCACCCATTCATTTACATTTACATCCCCGTAGTAAAGTGCGTGTGAATCGGTGAATAATGAGAACTCTTCGAGTCCTCGGACTGTAGCTGAAGGGCAACAACACGTTGACCATTTTTATCTCAATAATAGTAACCAAATGCAGTCATGGCTGGATTTTAATGGTGAAACATTAAGGAAAGAGTTAGATAAAGTATATGGCTCTTGTAGCTTTCTACTTAAAACTAAATTTGGACTGTTTAAACTAAGCGTCTTTGAAGGGCTCTCTGTCAATGCATCTATGGAAATTTTCATGTTATATAGTATATATTAGGCATATGCACAGGCTGAGAAAAAGGTGGTGCTACCTCCTGTGTGAACAAAACTGTGTAGTCACTATTTGTTATTAGAAAAACAAAAAAGCAAAAGGTTTTTGTCAACCTAGTGGCATCCTAGAATACCATCTCCCACTCTAAAAGAAGGAAACTAAACAACCCTGTTTAAACTATTGGAAAACCAATACTACAGCAAGCACTCTACACTCTTAAACAGGCTTTTCTTATCAATCCTGTAAACTCTGTGGTCATTTATTTTGCTTCTGCATCCTTTTCTCTCACATGTTTTCCTTTCACTTAACTTTCCACTAAATATATAGATCCATAATTTGGTTACATTTTACAAAAACGATCAAAACCATAATTTATAAATGGTAAAGAGACCATTTGTGCATGATTAACAGACAGTTTATTAATGTTTGACAATCATTTATAAACTTCATCTTTACCATTTATAAACAGTTTATAGATCATTTATTAAGGTCTTAAGTCCATTGATGTTAGGATAGGGCTAAACTAACATGGCAGGGCAATATGACCTATTTATGCTTAATGAATGGCTTAAATGTAGTTTATAAATGATTATTACTATATTATTACTATATTAAAAAAGTATCTGTTTAGGATTAGTAAATGGTCATTTATATATGATGGTTATTTTAAGGTGTTACCCATCATTTTTCCAACAACCAGCTTCTTTATCAATGACTTTTTGTAGTTTGACCCTCCTCACTATAACAGTCACTAATTTTTGTCTAAACTGACCCATGATTATTAAGACTACAGCATTAGATACGGGATTTATGTAATATTACTCAGATTTTCTGATAATGAATTTCAGTTTCCATCAGCTGTAAGCCACATTCACCTAAATAAACAACATATGACTTTAAATAAATGGAATATTTATATGTTCCTCTATTTGAACTGATTTAGTCAAATAAAATGTTAGGAATGAATTTCTTTCAGATGAAGCTGTAGATTCTACAGAAAGGAAGTTCATACATGTACCGGGCTTTTTAGGGCTTATAGACGCTTGTATGTCCTGGAAGTGGGATGGCTTTGTTATAGCGGCACCTCTTGTCTACACACACTCTGTCTATTCTCTCTTTTTTTATTGTCAGATCCTTCCGGTCTCTGTGCCCAGTTTCAAGCTCATTAGCACCATTTAGAATATTCTTTACGGCTCATTTAGTTTCTGGCTCTCACTCTGGCATCAAACAGCATGATGAGTGACTGCGCCCCACGGTGGACATGACACCTCCGTTTCCACCAAATAAACCCAGAGTCATTTCCCCTCATTCGTCATGTTTGCTGAAAATGCTGTTGGTACATTGGCATCTTTTAACACTAATAACTGGATAAGATTCAAGGAGGTATATTCAGAAACAGTTCATTTGAAGGTCTTAATGCTGAAAGTTATAAAAAAAAGAACATTAAACAGTGAAGAAAGTGCAGATTTTGCAGACAACAAAGCCTCATTTCTTGATGCCTTCTTTTTTTGTTTGTATCTACAGGCGTAGAGCAGAATGCCGCTGGTGAAGAGGAACATCGAACCTCGGCACTTGTGCCGTGGGGCCCTGCCAGATGGGGTGACCAGTGAACTGGAGTGCGTCACCAACAGCACACTGGCGGCCATCATCAAACAGCTGGGCAGCCTGAGTGAGTATAAAGAACTCACCTAAATACTTACACTTTATAGAGAGCAATTCTTTCACATTTTGTTCTCGTTAATCTTTCCAAACATGTCTTTTGCAAGCCCGCTTTGCATGGAATCAGATTGATAATACTTTTTTTTTTTTTTATCTATACTCTTTACTTGTCAAACAAATAAAAGGAAAAGCTTTCAAACTATTTTCCCAGAAGTTCTAATCCTGGATTTTTTGGAAAGAGTCACTGGTGTAATGCAAGTCAGTAGGTTTTAAATGTGGAGTTAAATCAGTTTAATTACATGCAGGATACAATATTAGAAAGTATAAGAAATGAGATCAGCTCAGTTCTACTATGGAGAATAATCATTTCCTGGTCTCCAGTCTGCACTTCATAACTTCATTGTAATCTAATATTAAAGTCTCTGTATCAAATGTTACTGATCCACTTATATACTTGGTGCAGTTCACATCCATCATCTGCTGCAATTGAAAAACCTTTCATTTGGCTCAGTTACGCAACACTGTGTGACGGTATTGAGATTTGCTGGTCTTCTCTCAAAAACATCATTTAGAAATGTACATTAGAAATGTAAAAACTTCAAGGCAAGAACAAAACTTAATGCTGAGTTGATATGAGCATTTTATCATAGCTTTCTAAATCTGTTTAACGGTTATAGGATTTAATGTTTGCCGGCTCAGTCTGGATGAGTAAAGGCTTTACTCTGTCTGTCTTACTGGAAGCTGAGCAGTTGAGATGCAGAAAAAAGGGAGTAATAGAAGACTGCAGTCTGGTAAAGCTTCCAAAAAAAGGAAATTAAAAACAATCCACTGGACTTTGTTTCCAAGTTTGAAGACGTTTTGTTTCCCATCCAGGAAGCTTTTTCAATTCAAAATGTCAGCAATAGTGTTAAGTTCAAGGTTTTATACAGTAGTCCATCAAAACCTTGATGTTTTTCTGAAAACATGCAAATTAAACGGACGAACGGGTCCACCCCTTTGGAATCAGGGTCGTTTGGCTTCTTTTGTTAGCCTGCAATGCCCCACACCCATCTAAGTCTCTATAAGGGGTGTTGTTAAAGGGAATTGTTGGCCTGGCTGAATAGGTAAGGTCCTCCACTCTCCTGTACAGGGGCTGGGGCTGTGATGATAGTGGGAAGGGATTAACTCAATTGCTGCATTGTAGGTTTTTGGAATCAAAGTCTAGTTGATTGTTTTTAATTTATTTTTTCTTTTGGAATGATTATGACCTGGATGACTGAGAATCTTTACCAGCACCTTGTAAAGCTTGCATTTGTATCCCAAGCTCCCTGTTATGGTTTTACAAACAAGGAGCGTGTCTGTCTTGAAGAGACAGACGACAGATGGGGAGGAGGAAAATGTGCATCTAACAACCCTGTTTTTTTTCTTGGTTGCTTTAAATAATCTGGTACATCAGGATTAAGCATTTTTAGGTACGATCATGCATTTTCTGGTAGTTCAACAACCAATAATTGCGTTTTTTTCCTAGCCCAGTCAATGTGCTAAACAGGAGTCGTAATACATGAATAAGTTAAGTGCTGAATAGGTTTTGACGTAGCAAACATTGACCTTATAAATTTGATCAGGTGTTTCTATTGTCAGTATTTTCCTGTCTTGTTTTTTTATGGTGGTTTTTGCATCAAAAGAATTGCATTACTTTCTCTAGTTAGCATGTAACATCACAAATTCTAGTTGACATGACAGCCTACAGTTACAACTTGGTCTACAAGAGAACACTCCTGAAAAAAATCCCTCCGTCTATCTGAGATGTGTTGATCCTGCTGGTTTGAAGGCTCTGCTTATTACAGCCATGTGTAACTTCAACTCCAAAAGAAATTACACTTAGCATAGCATTGTTAATTTACTATAAACCAGCATATAGAGACACTCCTAAATAATATTTTATTCTTTTTTTTTCACATTTCGAAACACTTTAAAGTTCGCTGAAGATGTTCAGAGCATATGAGTGGAAGCCTAACATGTGCATCAGTTTCCAAATTTCAGCAAAGAACGATAACACATGGTTTTCCCCAAGGCTCTGTAATTGGGCCACTTTTGTTTAATAACTATATTCTGCCATAATCTTGGATTAAAAAGTGGAATAACAGCTATCACCCAATATGATGATGAAACAAAACTTGATCATATTTTTCTCTCCATTGCCCATGCAGTGTGTCGATAATGCTAACTAGCCGAGCAAAAAAGGCAATGAAAAGACATCATGTATGCGTCCAAACAACCTCTACATTTGGGTGAAATCAGACCACACAGCTCAATTTTAAACAACTATATCTGGACTAAATGAAGACTACGGTGGACCGACCAGGTTTAGCCCAAAAAATATCTAAGCCTGGTGTTTTGGATGAATGAGTGCATGGCTCAGCATTACCTCAGGTTGATCCTGAAAAGACAACAAGTCCTTGTCTTCTTGTTCCTACTCTGAAGGGGTAGTGAAGCTTAGGATCACAAATCTTGTGACGAGCTCAGAACAATAGAATCCAGTGTTCGAGGCAGACAAACAGATTTCTCAAAATGTTTATTAGAAACAGAACCGCAGTGTGCAGCGTTGGCGTCTAAGGCAGGAACCTCTGTGGGTAGAAACAGCAGGTTAGTGACCACATCTATCTTGAGGTGGATGATAACGAGCGTATGAGTCTGTAACCTGGTCTTATAACTAAGTCCGAGCCCAGAGGGTGAGGTTGGTTCCAGACGGTTGTTTGCTTGCCAGCAGTACGCAGCCATTGCAGCACAGAGAGTCCCAGATGCTGATGTATTGGTGGTCGGAGGACAGGCAGGATATTAGAACTGAGCAGACGAAGGTAGGCAGGATAATACAAGGGCGGAACCAAAGCCGATGTCGAAGACGTGCTCGGTAGCTCAGAGCCAGGAGGTCAGAGATCCAGTGAGGTGCAGAGGGAGAATCCAGAACAGATTCGGGAAACAGTTCCAGGTTTGGTTCACAGACAGGAAGAAATCCGACAGGAGTCTGAAAACAGGTCAGGCAGGCTCAGCGGTCCAGAGGCAGAATGAGTCAGGACCAGGCAATCACAACTGAAGGAATGCTAGAGAACTCTCTCCAAAGACTCGAAATAATCCAGCACTGATAACTGGTCTGAAAGCTGGTTAAATAGAGACTGAAGCAGGTTGATCAGATTAGCGGTAATGAGAACTGCGCAGAGATAAGCATGTGAATGCAATGAGTAATCAACCAGACATCAGCGCCAAGATCATGACATCTTGCTTCAGATGTAGGTGTAGCTTTGACCAGGGGCATAAATTGCAATGACCAAATGAAGTCTCTGACTATAACACTTTTTTAATCAATTTTAAACCTACGCACAATGAAAAACTTCAAAACCTGGACATTGCTTTAAGAATAGATCACTGTGAAGATGTATATTTCTCTTTGTCATAAAATCAAACCACAGCAACTTATAAAGCTGCTGTCCAAAATCTTAAACCAGTACTGGGACAATTGGTCAATTCACTGTCCTTTAGGTGAAATGTGGTTAAAATCTTGCTAGTCTTTAAGGTTCTGCTTGGTGTAGGGTCTGAGTACATTTCATGTGCTGGTCAGGTGTGACAGACAGATGCCTCTTGTCAGCTGAGACCTCTTTATGATCCCTTTGAAAATCCAGAACTAAGCAAAGTAAGCCATCTCTAAGCTTTTACGAAGATCATATTGTCCATCCTAGAATGCTTTTAAACAAAGTCCACATGCCGGTTATAAAAAGGGCATCATTGATGTGTAAATATTTCATTAGAGTGAGATTTGTCCATCACGGACTCTATGAATAAAACAGTAAATAGACCACCGTTAGGAAGAGCTGTCAATGTTACTAGATCTACAGTTCTAGTGAGTTGGTCAATGTTTGAAGTAAATGCTAAATGCTAGTTTAAAGCACATGTTAATATGTTGAGGATGTGAAGGACAGAATGTCAGAATCAGATGAAAGTCTAACATGTCGGTTTTACTTCTGTACAGGTCGCCATGCTGAAGACATTTTTGGAGAACTGTTCAATGAAGCCAACAGCTTCTACCTGCGGATGAGCAGCCTGCAGGAGAGAGTGGACCTGCTGGCCGTGAAAGTCACTCAGCTCGACTCCACTGTGGAGGAAGGTATGCGTGTCTGTGACTCTGTAAAGGTCATGCTTCCAGGGCATTGCAACGGTTGGTTTCCAAACAGCCCCCGATGTGCGATTGTGATTCATTGTCGAGCAGTCGAGGACAGGCATTGCTTCTGTGTCGGTGTTAATCAGAGTGTTGGTGTATAGTAATTTGCATTTTAGCTTTAGTGTTTTTTGTTTGTAGGTCTATGTGTGCTTGTGCTTTCCCCAATAGCAAACCCCTTTGTGTGGGTTACAGTTATGTAGATTTTACCCCACTGAAAACATTCAAGTATTTGTTGTAAGTCCCTTTTATTCTGATATACCTGAATAAAGTTAAATGTTGCAACTTTCCTTTAGAAGTCACCTTACTGATTAAATCAGGCATGTCCTAAGTCAGTCCTTGAGGGCCGCTGTCCTACAGGTTTTGGATGTTACTGGGCCTCAGCACAGCTGATTCTGATGAGTGCAGTTCAACCTGTTAATCAGAGCTGTGCTGAAAGCAGGGACACCTCTAAAACCAGCGGTCATCGAGAACCAACTTTGGACATGCCTGGATTAAATGCAACAATCCTTTTCCAGTTTAATCTCAGTCTAAATCCAGCTGCATTTGGAAGGTTTCAGAGGACGGAAGATGGTGACACGATCAAAGCGGTTTAAGAAAATAAAAATCCGTAGTGTTGAATATCACACAGTGCACTGATTAAATATAGAGTGCGTCCTAACAGAAAAAAACTTCCAAGACATGGATGCCAAACTAATCTGACAGCCTGGGTAAAGTAGCTATTAAAAGGCTGGAGAATCTTTCAACAAGACAATGACTAGAGGTGTACTTTACAAATTTCCTCTGAAGAGTAGCAAGAATGAAGCAGTCATTAAAAAAAACCCACAGTCCTGTTGAGCCTCTTTCCCACTGATAATACCTTGTTAAACCAGGTTTTCCAAACAATCGGCATTTGGCTCCCTGGTACTGGTACAACTAAAAACTCAAATGTATAGCCATAAACTTTTAACACATCCTCTCTCATAGGCAAGTCTCTCAAGTGCTGCTCCCTGCTGGGAAATAGAATGACAGTCTAGCTGTGCTCACGTAAAAATGTAGACAGTTTGTGGATTGATGGAAGGAGAGCACTTGTTTGTTGAAATCCTACAGGGGATGCAGTTTGTCATTCAGATTTTTCACAAGCTAAGTTTTACAAAACTACATGTTTGCTGAGTGCATGTTAGCAAACTGTCCTGCCTTTTACGATGTTTGTATTCAATGTGTCCTTCCTCATTTGGAGCCTGCTTGTTTGCGTATCCCAAGAGTGCTTGAGTGTGTACGATGTAACTGTCGTTTTTCATCCGTCTTTAAAAAGCCCATACCTTTTTTACTGTTGTGTCTTTAAGAAGACGTGTATTGCCCGAGGTTGGTTATAGGTAAGTCAGACTGTAAATCATTAGGCCCTGCTGAAAGCTGGTTATATTAGCGCAGTTATACATGAAGATTTATCGTTGCACTTATTTGATTAAGTATATTGCTAGAGACAGTTCATTAAATGGCGATTTATGAGCCTTTTGTCGAGCATCAAATACTTGAATCCAAATCAGTTGGCTATTACAGTGAGCTATTTCTGCTTAGCTACAGCTGTTATTTGTTAAATAAACTTTTGAATCAATCTTACTGCATGATCTGGTGAATTGTAAAGGGACTTGAGATGACATGTGAATTGTCGCTATTAGGTAAATTGAATTGAATTATTTGGCACATAACGGGCAGGGGCAGAGCTAAACAGGTGGTAGTGGGTGCACTACATCTCAAATCATCTGGTCAGTCCTGTAGAGTAAAATGTACCATGCAGAGTTGTGAAGACACTACAGAAAGTTAAAGTTAAAATACAGTTAGATAGAAACAGGAATCTAATACATCTTAAGTTACCAGTACAATGTTTCACTGAAATAAAAGAAAGAGGGATAAAGGTAACAGAAATTTACTTTAAGTAAAAGTTAATTTTTTTGTAAGCTGGGGAAAAAAATTACTTCTTTTCCATTTCATGAAGTAAAAGAGAGAGGATCTTATTTATTAATTTGAATTAGGACAATGCACTTTCACAGAGAGCAGAGTGGACACAAACAGATAAATGTAAATGTGTGTAATGTGGAAATCCCTTTATTGTCCCACAATGGGGAAATTCACTCTCATTTGACTCTTGCATTTGACCCATCCCCCTGGGGGGGCAGTGTGGGGTTAAGGGTTTTGCTCAGGAACCCAGGGTGAAGGCTGTGGGGATTGAACCGGGTACATGCAACCTTCTAAGAGCACAAGCGCACTGCTCTAAGCACTAGGACAACACTCCCAAATAAAATGGCAAATAAAATGCCAATAACATAAAATCACAATAAAATCAGGTTAAAAGGCCCAGGGAAACATACTAATTCACCTGTGAACACATGTATGGTTAGTTTTCAACAAAGATTTAAAAACATGAGCTGGCAGTTTGTTCCATGACTGTGCTCTTCTGATGGATGCAACCATTTGGCCAAATTTGATCCTGAGCCGCTGAACATTGCAGTCTCCTTTGGTTATAGCCCTGGTGTTTACTCTTTGTCTTAAACTGTTGATAATTTAATAAAACATTAGTTGCAATAAAAAAGAGGAGAGATTACAATCTTAAAAAACAGCATTTCATTGATTTTGCACCAACAATATGGATAATGTGAAACGGCCTGTGCTTGTGTAGCATTTTAGTTTGTGTGTTTTCATGATGTCATTATTATCACATCTGATATAAACTTCAATAAAAGGCAAATTCTTGTGTTTTATTTTCTAATTTTTTCCCTTTTATGATCCTATTTTCTCTCTGCATCTCTCTCCTGTCTTTTAGCTCTAATTTATTTTCTTCTTTGCTGGTTCTGCCGAGTCATTCTGCAGCACAGCAGCCTCAGACATTCAGTGTCACAGCCCCACAGATGGAGACGAAAAAATAAATCCTCAGCAGTCTTTCCGTCTTATTATTTCATCCCCTCCCATTCCTCATCACCTGTTTAGTCTTTCATCTCTTGCTTCCTGCGTACAATCCATTCCTAAGTCCTCTTGATTGTCATGTTTTAGTCCTGCCAGCATCTCCATGATAAAAGTGACTTATCACATGCATTTCACTTTTACTGTGTTCTGGTGTCCTTTTTCCATTTTTCTTTTTAATATTTTCCACCTCATTTGGGAAATGGCAACACTGATAACTTCTCTTTTCTCAATGAGGAAATGGGGTAATGTGGTAAAAATAGAACTATTAAAGTGAATACAACGACTGAGTATGGCATAAGAAGAGACAATACAAATACAATGGAAAGATGTTTAAGGAAGAACGGCAAATACAGTTAGACGTGTTGCTGTTATGTAACAAGTAAAACTCTTATGTCACATTCACTTCAAGTGTGTTATATTAAACTAAGTCAGGTTAAAAACCCTAGCTGTAAAAAGTCTTAAAATACGTGCTCTCTTATTGCGGCAGCATAATCTCACACTGAAAAACATGCTGCTGTTCTGTACAGTAGTGGTGACCTTAAAGTTTATCAACCCAGGTTCAAATCAAGTCTGAAAATGATGTTTGAGTGCCTTTTTCCAACACTGTGCCTAAATTATTCATTTGGATGTGGAGTGTTAGCCTAGTGGGTTAGAGAAGTGCTCCTGTACTCTGAGAAGGTTGCAAGTACCCGGTTTGAATCCCACTGCCTCCATTCTGGGTTCCTGAGCAAGACCCTTAACCCCTGACTGCTCCCTGGGCGCCGCACAATGGCAGCCCACTTCTCCCCAAGGCGATGGTTAAATGCAGAGATACATTTTTCCAATGTGAGATCAATAAAGTTCAATTATTATTATTATTAAAAGTCTGTGACTGATGAAGTTCGACATTAAAGATCACATTCAAATATGAATTAAATATCTGTGTGTGAACAGTAAGATCACTATTGTGGGAAGGAAAGAAACTCAGAACTGTGGTTGAATCCGGTTAGCTGCAGCCGTATAGATGTAATTGCATGAAAGAAAGGCACAAGGGTGTTGTGTGGCTACTAGGGACTACAACCTTCTCAAAAAGAACTACAAAAATACAAAAGTTGCTCAAATGTAATGAATAGCTGAAGCTCACCATCATAAAACTCACAACATATGAAGATTTGCATTCATGGCAGAGTAAAGGATTGTGGGAAACTGTATACCTCCAAAGTGTTGGATAAGAACGTAGGGTGGTAACTATGCTGAATAAACCATTGATAAGAAGCAAACTGCTTTCTCTTTCTATCATTGCAATCACTGAGACACATTTTTGCTTTTGGTCTAAGTGTGATTATTGACTTGGCAGATTAAGATTGAGCCTAGAATCCAAACCCTTCTTGCTATAGTGTATCAATTATTTCACTTGTTTAAAAAATATACAGTATATAGTAAAAGCATTTTTTTAGAAGCCAAAGACTGATCTATCTTCGGAGGAGCAGATCTCAAATTATTTTTTTCATTGGCTTGTGAAAATATGAATAATAGTAAAAAAAAAAAAAAACAGCAATCCATTCTCTGATTACCACTCTTGAAAAACTTTTGTCAAACACCAGGGTTCCCGCGGGTCCTTAAAAAGTCTTAAAAGGCATTGAATTCTTCAAAATAAAACTAAGGCCTTAATTGGTATTGAAATGTCTTAAATCAGTCTTTCGTAGGTCTTAATTTAAAAAAAATCATAAATAGGATTATATTTATTACGATTTATTTTTGTAATCTAAATAAAATATTAAAATTGACAATTTTTTTTCTTCTTTTAAATAAAAAAAAAATAACGGCTCACCATTATTGGTTCCGTCCCGATAGCGGAACCAATTAAAGCGTTGTTGCGGCCGGGACATTTGGGAGATGCACCATCAACTTTTTGCCTGGAAAATATGAGCAAGTGTAAATGTAATGAAAATTGGCTCCAGCCAAGAGTTTTCTCCATGGCTAAAACCAGGGAACATACATGACGCACAGTGTATTTTGTGCAAGAACTCATTCAAGCTCGGAACGATGGGAATTAAGGCAGTGGAGTCGCAAATGCGAAGCACGAAACACTAAGCGTCAAAATCGAGTTACAGAGAAACAGCCGGTATTTCTCAGTTTTGTTCCACCCTTGTCTCTGCAAGGCTTCCACTTATCACCAAATCAAACATACTAAGAAAACGATACAAAGAAAAATAGCTGCAAAAAAGACTTAGCACTGGTTATGTTGTGGCTTTACAACTGATTTGTTTTGTTCCCTGCTAAAGCAAAGTTTGTGAATTCAGTTAAATAATTGCTAAAATATATCTGTCATTTGTGTGTTTTTAGCTTTCTTCCTGTATTGGAAGCTTTTCAAAATTTGAAACAGTGCAGTGGTTTATGTTAAAATAGACCTTTGGGTTAAGTTGTCGCAAGCGAGTTTTTCTTGTGTTTCTTGTGAATTTGGTCTTAATTTTTTATTTCAAGTGGCATTAAAAAGTCTTAAAAAGTCTTGAATTTAACTTGCCTTATGCTGTAGGAACCCTGAACACTCCTCCAACGACTCTATTTAGGATATTTGTAAGGACTGCAAAAGAGTGTTTAATAAGGATGCAGTACTTCAAGTGATACAGAACAAGAGCATGCATAACCACAGAAAAAAATAAGAAAAGAAAGAAGAGAGAGAATAAGACTTCTCTTTGAAGAGGTGTTTAAATCAAAGTTGCACTGGCTTCTGCTGCAGTGGATTATTCATTTGGCCGCTGGGACAGAGGCTTAGGAGGCATTGATCAAACTCTGGTCTGACTGTAAAATGCCTTCAGTGCAAAATTACACACTCACACACAGTTAGATCAAGCCATATTTGCTTTTAAGAAGCACGTCTGCATTTAGAGTTTAAACCTTTCTGTTCACCCCTGCACACATAGAAGCTTTTCACTTATTAAATCACTGATTGGAACATTAATTATGCTCTTTGTGATTTAACCTGATTACACTCTGGCCTTGTGGGGACTGACCCCACCCATCTGCCATATGGCACATCATGTATAGTTCTGCGTTGAGGTTAACATATATTGGGCATGCAGGCCCAATAACAGCACTGCCAGGTCTGCCTCAGTTTTGCATCATTGTTTTTCTTTGAGGTCCACAGCTTGTCCACTCTTGTGCGAGCCCTGTCCTTATCCAATTCATGCTTTCTCTTCCTTTCATATTCTGATAAAGGTTTTCTTTGCCCTTTTATTTCTTGCTTTACAATGTCGGAAACATCAAAGATCCCAAACTAGTCTATGTTGAAACATGAGTGGGGCATTGAGGGATGTGTGGAGAGGGACGCCAGTCGCCTTACTTTGGGCTTTGGTAAAGCTGTTGGTCCTGCCATAAGATCGAGAATAGAGAAACAGTCACCAATTAGGTGGCATAAAAGTTGTAAATGTGGTTTTTCGGCGAGAGAGTTTAGGAATATAACAGACCTCTGAATTGTCTCATAAACAGGTTAACATCACAGGGGCTTTAGCAAGGTTCTTCCTTGGCATGTCTACAAGCTCTGCATGGCAAAATAATGTCATTTGGAGCTTCCACGCCCCCCCATATAGACTTATTTTCACATCATACATTTAGGAAAATTTGTGACCTCACGGAAAGCTCTGTGCCTAAAAACACGGAAAGCGAACAACAACTCCTACTGGCGATTGTTCGCAAATGTAACAACAAACATCGAAATCTAGATAAGTAATTTTTTTCTTCAAATAAGTGCATTTGTTCTTGATTTAGGAGATAAAAGAGACATTTTGCCAATGAAACAAGACAATTAACATTTGAAATAAGAAAACACAATTGCATTGTCTTATTTCAAGTGCTTTTTATCTGATATTATTTTAAGAGTAAAAATACTCATTCCATTGGCAAACTATCCCATTTTCTTTTTTGTTTCTGCATTTTTTCTTTTATTTTTGTTTCTTTCCTACTTGCTTTGATTCTGTTTTATTTTCCTATATTTTAATCATGTAAAGCTGTGCTATACAAATACATTTGCCTTGCCCTTGCCTTGCCTTGCCTACTCAAATTAAGGGTGAATAAACTTAATTTAAGAAATTTTTTATTATTTCTAGATTGTTTTTCGAGTGCACCACTATCAAGAAAAAAAAACTCTGGGTGAGAAATGACTGTTGCTCTTGGATGGCATGAAAGGGCTTTGAAAAACTCGTAAACAGCTGTGTTTTCTAGTGTCGTGTTGACAGCTTAGAGAAAAAAAAGTATGATGCGACAAATGTCAACAATAGAAAAAAACATCAACAGATATGACTGAAGAGCCGAAGAAAACAGAAATTTGTGGGACAGGCACAAAGAGTAGCTAAAGTTGAGGATGAATGGACAATTATGGGTTTGTTTACAAAACAGGCAATTTCTTTTTCTACTACTAAAGTGTTTGTAGAAAACTAAAAATGTGATAAATCTGATCGAACGCTTGGTACATGTAACCACACATCATGATCGGATCATTTTATTTAGTGTCCCTGTGAACAGAGATTTAGAATTTCCGTCCAACTGAGATTTAGATTGTATTGGGGAATTTGCGGAGGTAAACGTAGGTATAGTTAACCCAATCCTCATTCATATTGTATCCTTTGTTCTTTCAGTCTCCCTGCAGGACATCAATATGAGAAAAGCTTTTAAGAGCAGTACCATTCAAGACCAGCAGGTGGTTTCCAGGACTTCTGTTCCCAACCCTGTGGTGGAGATGTATCACCGCTGTGACAAGCCTCCACCGCTCAACATCCTCAGCCCTTATAGGTGACTCATATTTGGACATGGTTTAATATCAGCGGTTGACTTAAACATGTCTTTCTTTTGTGGTACTTACTTTTTCCTTCTTCCACGCCTGCTCCGCTTTCCTCTAAGGGATGACAAGAAGGATGCGCTGAAGTTCTACACCGATCCGTCCTACTTCTTCAACCTGTGGAAGGAGAAAATGCTGCAGGCCACTGAAGACAAACGCAAAGAGAAGAGGAGACAGAAGGTAGGCATTTGTTTCCATGTGTGTTCCAGTACAGTCCTTTTGCATGTACAGCTGTACTCTAGTTATGAATGTACAGTTGGTGTGGCAGTGTGGAGCTGGAGGAGAATGTGTTATAGAAAAGGGAAAAGAAACAAATCCATCCTCTGCTTTAATTTGCCTATTTGTTATATTTTGCCTACTTGTGTCATTTTCTGCTGTTATTTGAGTTCATGCTTTCTTATCTTAATGTTCTACCCATCCAGCTTTGCTCTGTTGAATACAGCAGCAGCTAAGGGATACTGTTTGTTAGGAAATATTCAGAGTTTATAGGAACAGATTATACTGCTTATACTTATTGAGATAAGACAATAGTAAATATGTCACTATTTGTTGATGGATAATTTATATTCTTTCTTGGGTTGAAACCCCTTCAATAAGCTTTTTTAAATGAGTTGAATGCCAAGGTACAGAAACATATTGGATTCACCTGAAAAAGCAATGTTTTTCTTAATTTACAAGATAAGTTGTATTAAAAAATATATAAAATTTCAGTTATTTTGAATTAACAAGTAGGTGTTACAAAAACAAATTAAAATGTTCTGTTTTGCTAAACTAACAAGATAAAGTTTTATAAAAATATATATATATATATATCTTTTTCTGAATTATCACGATTGCACTTTAGAAAAAAAATAATAAAAGCATTCTGTTTTTCTGAATTAACAAGATAAGTTTTGCTAAATTTTATTAAAATGTACAGTTTGGATTAACTAACAAGATATTTTTATAAAATAAATATATATATATAAACATTATGTTTATTCTGAATTAGCAGGATAACATATAACATAACAGATATTTTTTACAAAAATAAATCAAAACATTGTTTTTCTAAACTAACGAGATAAAGCTTTATTAAAAAAAAATCTGCAGAAAGGCATCTCTTGCTTAAAATCTAAAATGCCTACAGCATCAGAAAATCCAATTTAAAATCACAGCCACATTATCACATCAGAAAAACAGACTTTTTTTTTAAATTAATGCATTACGCTTCTGTACTGAGGTTTACATTTTCTAACAAATAGAGAAAATTTTTATGTAGAGGCTTAAATCTATCTATAAAATATGGATGATATACCGAGTCACACCTTGACCAGGTTATTTCTCTAGCAATAATCCATAGCAATCCAAGATTACCATGATGGTTAACTGCTCTTCCTGTCAGAATTGGTGGAGTTGATCTTAAGTAGTTGTTTATTAAGTTCAGATCCCAGCCTTAAGCCTCCTTGACAAAAATTATATTTTAATTGTTCTGAGGATTATTTTCCTGTTGCAATGCCCAGTTGAATTCTAATTTTTAACAATTTAGCTGCTGATGGGTTAAACTACATTTACTGAGTTAGGTTGGTAAGCATTTCACATTTTGTACAGGAAGGGCCCCTTAAGTGGCAGCTGTGATGTATGGAGGACCAAAATGGACAAAATTAAATTAAATAAATGTATAAATATTGTAATGAAATACATAAATGTAGATGTCCTATAAGAAATATAATAAATGTACTATTAAATTCATGAATATGCAATTCACTAACTGAATGTTCCATATCTCTGTTTAATATAACTGAATATGCCATAAAATGCAAATTAATATGACTAAGACTAAATTTAACATTTTTAGATAAGTTCCTCTGTCTTTATTTAGTAGATGCATAAACATATAGTGTTTTTAGGGGATTCCAATAGGGGGATCTTTGGTCTCTGGCTCTGCTATTTTAGACCAACTGGTAAAACATTTGGAAACATCTGCAGTATATTGAAGGGGGAAAAAAAACATGGAGAAAAATATATTTTTGTGGTTTTAATAAATGTTACATATTAATTATTTAAATTGAAGCATAGTTACTGTATGATAGGGGTGTAAATCACATCCATCATGGCGATTCGATTCAGTATCGATTTCCTGACCCAACAATTCGATTGTTTTCGATACTCAAGAATACACCATGATGCGATTCGATTAATTAGTTCTTTTTTTGTTTTTTTGTTTTTTACACCTTACAGGATAAACAATGTTTCAAATTTGAAATAAATCAATCAAAGCTGTAATATTGTTACGCATTTTTTTGAGAAACAACAGCAAATAACAAAAGTAGAAAAGTTGCATCAAAAAATACTGCACAAAATCAGTGCAATGAGTGCAATGCAATACATCGGCTCCAGACGTCCCCCCCCCCTCCGCAGACACTCCGCTGCTCCTCTCCCAAATTGTAGCTGACCGCAGACAGTGCCACAAACAGGAGGCCGGCTTTTTTTGTTTTTATGACCGGAATTGCGGAAAACAACTTGTAAAGTTTGACCCGCTACTGTGCGCGAGAACGCTGGGATCCTTTTTCCACCTGGATCTCCGCTCTTTTTGGTCCTCATGTCCCTACGTCGTCGGACTAAACTCGCCCCACTTCCTCTCCGCCTCAGCCGTATCTAGACCCACAGTGTGTAGCACAGACCGCACTTCAATATTTAGCATAAATAAAAAATGTCTGTGTCAAGCTTACTGCAACACACTGCTGTAAGAGTATAACCAGGAAGCGAGGTAGGAGGGTAAAATAGGTTTAGCGCCACCGCAGCACGGGAGGGAGAATTGAGTCCAGGAGCAAATGGATAAAAATAGATCGGAGGAAAAAAAAAAACATGAATCTAATATCTTACGGACGTATCAATGCATCGGATCGTCGGCTCTTGGATCGATGCATCGATATAAAACGATTAATATTTACACCCTTACTGTATGACCACATGGATATTGAATGAGATCCATAGAAATTCTTCATCCCTTAGTCTAATCCCTGCTGAGTTGAACCCCTCTGTCCCTGATGGTATTTTCCTCAGATTTCAGGCTGAATGAAATTGTTTTATGTCAGAACAGCTGCTGCTGTATGTGTTTGCTGCTTTATGTCAATGTTTTTGTTGAACTTTAATTCTTATTTCATCTTTTTATGTTCCTTCCTTGTGTGATGTACTCATTGCAATGTAACATTTTTGAACCTCACATGAAGCTTTTACTTTATTAAAAAAACAGCAACAAAAAAAGCAGGTTTAAATGAAGAAACTGCCAAAGACCTTGGTCTCCTTTACTCCCTCAGTGCCTCCTTCCTTTCTCGTAGTCATCTGTAGCTGGCTGGCCTTGGAAGATGCTTTTCCTCTTTCCTCTTCCTCTGCTCAGTCTAATGCACCAGCTTGTCTTTCTCCCATCTTTCCATAGGGCTGTCCGGCCCACCCTGACAGGCCCCACTCCCGACAGGCCCCACCCAGGAGCCCCCTGTCCATCTCTGTAAGGCGACCCAGACCCCTAATCCCCCCACCCCACCCCTCCTGCCCTTCACTTCCTGCCCTCACACTCCATTAAAACACATTATGCAATCACCTCTAATGAAGTAGGCCTACACACAGGTACAGAGCACTCACATATTAACTCAAAAGGAACAGGACTATTTAAAAACAAAGTCATGTTTCATGTATGAAGAAAAAAAACCAACACACACACACATGCCCGTTCCCTTCTGGGTGTGCGCGTGTGCATACTATCACGTTATCTCACCACCCCGCCCTCTCTCTAACCTCCTGTGTTTGGCTTTGGTTTGATTTGTTGTGTTACCACCCATTTTTGGCTCCGTCGTCCGCCGTGTGTTAGTCGTGTCGCACAGTAGTGTTCTGGGTAGTGAGTAGTCCAGTCTGTGTATGTGTGTGTTTGGCTAAGTGTGATGAAATAGATGGTTAAAGGGGTCCAGATCACTTTCCGTCTATGTGATAAAAGCAAACAATCCTTGACTGAGTTTCTCTCTGCTGCTGTTTGTCTGGTTATTTTGTCCTCCACAGGAGCAGCAGAGGCAGGTGGAAGACCAAAGCAGAGAGGTCAAGAAGGTCAGTAACAACGTTCCTTTTAGAACAATGAAATCATCTCACTCAACAGAATTTACCCGGTCATTATCTATTAAGATGGGCAACACTGTACAAATTTTTACCCTTTTCGGACCAATTCTCCAGTCGTGGAAGGATTTTTTTCCATCAGGCCGAGTTTCAGCCTCATTGTGCAGCTTGTAGTATACAGGAGGTAACAAGGGGTGATTATTGTCTCATGACCACCTCCAGATAAGGAATTGTAAGGTCGGGAGAAAATGTTCAAGGACAATTCTGTTAAAGCAGCGCTACGAGCTGATTTACCAGAACCTCTGGCACTGCACATGTGCAGACAAGGGAATTCTTCTTTTTCTTCTTCCTTCTTCCAGACTCAGCGCCATCTCTAGGCGCTGAGTCCGATGTGTGGCCTTTGCACGTCCAGTGTGAGCAGGTAGATCGCATCAGAGCGTTGGGCCATATAGTGTAAAAACATGCATGGTAAGCAGTGAACTTTCAAACCCTTTGATTTCTTCGTACAGTTTGAGCTGTAACTGAGTAGAGCAATTGAAAGTCTTACGCTTTATTTCCGGATTTAGACAGACTAAACAGAAAGGCTGGACAAAAATTGAAGTACTGTAAACCCATGCTCAATTCCAACTGGTAACATACAGCTGTTGAAGCAATACCAGGAAGGAAACACAATAGTACTGTAAAGATGCTTGACCAGAAGCCATTTTCCCTCAATCTGGGAAGCGGTTTTGGGGTTATTTCCAAAGATTTTCAGGTACCTTATTCTACAAAGAAAAAGATGAGTCATAAATGATATCTGATGCATAGAAGCAAGCTAAAAATGGACCGTACAATGCTCATAGAAACTGTAAGAACTTCATACTGATAGAGTGTGCATGCCTCCGTTAGGAACTTTTATAAAAGACTAAACAGGTTGGTGGATACACATAGATATCAGCACAAAGCAAAAGTTTTTTTCTAAATATAGGACAGCACCAACATTTTATGGCATTATCTGAAAAACAAACACAATAAATAAGAACAAAAAACATTATAAACTTTGAAGCATGTTGGTGCAGGCAAGAGGACTTTCCTTATTTTGCGTCCACAGGACCTGCGTCTTTAGCCCCTTTTTCAGGGTTTTTTGGGATTTTAAGCCATTACCCAGGATTGTTAACACAAGTCATTTAAGTTTCATTGTCCACACTATCCAGGATGAAAGGTTTTGGTTTTGGAGTAAGACAAATAGATTACCATGGTAGGGTTAAGAGGTGATGTCATGTGCTTAGCAGCTATAAGTAGTGGACCATCTCTTGTATGGCTCACCCATAATATTTAGGACCTATATGTTATTGGTTTTTACTTGAAAAAAGTTAAATATTTAATACTTTTTGTCATTAAGAGGGGATCAAAGGAAGAAGACATTCCAGATCTGTCCTCCCCTACGTGTTTTATTACTTTCACAGGTGGGGAGATAAGGGCTTCTCTGTCAGGTTTTGCTTGATTGACCTTTGGTTTTTCATTACTGCCACCCTCTGGACTCACTGTTCGGTGCAGTTTTCCTCAAAACTTCTCCTTTTGTCAATAAGCTGATACCAATACATTTTCCACAGCCTTTCAAAACAGTAGAAACAAGCAGCACACGAATTACCCAGGGTCCCTTTTACCCTGTGAACAGCATGTACGATGTATGTCGTGTCGTAGTGTTGAATGAATAATTCACAAACGACAGACTGGTGACTACCAGTTTGTGAGACCTACTACGGAAGCTGAGGAGGGACATTCTCCTGCTTCTGACCTTGCTTCCAACACATCAACCTCCATCAGCCTTGTCAAATCAGCTGAATAAACAATGAAACACAGAATATTACTTTGAAAAAAGCCCACGGTTATAAGCTGGTTTGACTTCTGTGAAAACTAACAGCTGATAATTGTGTCATCGCAGTTCATCCATTGTGGGATAAATAAACTAGCTGTCTCTACCAGGGGCACAGACTAGTTGCTGGTTTCAAATATAATACCTAATTAAACTTCACTGTTATATTGAATAACCTTACCTGTCCAGCCTAAAGCCTGAAACTGTCAAGACTCTGAACAAAAGGACTCAGAATTCAGGCAAGACAGACAGAGGAATAACTTAAAGGCGTTTATTTAAAGATGGGCTGTGAATCTGCGGTATGGGCGTCTATAACAGGAAAGTCTATAGAAGAGAAACACAGGTTAGTGACCATGATAGTCTAACGGAGGATGATTATGAATGCATGAGTCTCTAACCTGGTTTGAAAGCTCAGTCAGTACCCAGAGAACAAGGATGAGTCCAGGCGGTCAGCTGAAAAGACACAGCGGAAGCTGTCAGAGAGTCCCAGACGTGAAAGCATTGAAGGCCGTAGAACTGTCAGGAGATCAGGCCCAAACAGAAGAAGGAGGGCAGGATAATCCACAGGGCGAAGTCAAGAGGAAGATCCAGGTTCAGTCAACAGAAGAATCCAACAGAAGTCCGAAGACAGAACAGGCAAACAGATCAGAAAGGGGCAGGCAGGCTCAAAAGTCAGTATACAAAAAAAGGTCAGGATCAGGCAGTCAAAACACATAAAAAACTATAAAACTCTCACACTCTATTCGAGAATAATATAGCACTGATGGTTGGAAACAGGCAGCCTAAATAGGAGCTGGAACAGGTGGTTCAGATGAGCAGTGCTGAGACACAGGGCAGAGTTAGACAGGTGAATGAACTGAGCAATCAAACCAGCCATCACCCCCAAAATATAACAGAATCATCCGTTTCCCTTTTTAATCCCTGCTCAATCATAAAGTGTCTCCACCTGGTAAACACTGCACAGATGTAGACTTTCTTTTTGTCCTAATTATTACTTCTTTATTTTTATTTTTTTGTTTCTTTTCTCTTGCCTTTTACTGGACAAAGAGTGCGGATGATTGACATTGCAATAGAAGGCTGAAATATAAAGTGCTGATTTTGCTCATTTTTTTGCCCTCCCACCGACAAGAGGTTTTCAGTTACAGGTAAGATATGTAAGGCTGACAAGTTGGTCCCCTTTTGGCTACTCTGATCAAAAATGGCACCCCAATATGGCGCCTCCTATTGTGTGCATCACACTCTATGTATTTATAAACTACTCAATTTAAAATATGAGAACGATATCACTCATGATGTGATGTTATAAGACTTTCACAAAATATGTATATTGTATATGTGTTATTGAAGCAATACTAGATTTTTGTTAATAAAAAGCCAAATTTGTGACACAAATGGCATTTAAGGCATCCCTGAATGCTTTACTGTAACAGGCAACTCTGACAAACATACAGTATTTGACTCAAGAAAATATACAGTAAAACAACGCCCAAACTCAGAATGCAAAAAATATAAAATGTTATTAAAATGATTAAAAGTGTCTGTATGAACTGCTGAATTCTTTGGAGTGGCTAATTTCATAAACTTTTTAGCTTGAATTTTCTCTACTTATAATTGACCTTATTGAATTTATGTAGCTCAATTTGGGCTCGATATTAGTGTATTTAGAACCAGCAGGTAAAGACTACTTCCTGATATTAAAACCTTAAATCTGAAACAAGATGCCTTTAACAAGACTACTGTGGTTGATATAATATCAAAATAAAATATTAACCTTATCATTTCTTGAACCTGACAAACTTCTGAAGAGAGAAGTTGGAAGAACATTTATTAAACAGTAATAGATGTATGTCCGTCTCCAACCATAAGAATTAAAACTCACCATTCATTTAAAATAAAACCATAAGGTTATAACTATACAGATTATCCATATTCTTCCCCTCTTGTTTCACCCTTGCAGGTGCGTAAGGCTCGTAACAGGCGTCAGGAATGGAACGTCCTCGCCTACGACAAAGAGTTCAGACCTGATGCCAGGCTCACCCCCTCCCCTTACCACGGCATGTCCTCTGAAGGATCCCTGTCCCCAGACAGCAGGTACATACACACCAGTGTGAGCTCACTCCAAACCAAGTCAGCAGGTCTTTGTTTCTTTGCTGTGTCCAGAAGCAACCACATGTTTAATTGTTCATTTAAATTTAGTTTTTAGGAGATTTTTAGAGAATTAAACCAGGTGAAACTAGGAGTTTTCCACTTGAGGAGCTCTGGTAGAACATATTGACAGAAGAATTATATTAAATGCAACATTTTTCTTTGCTTTTTTTTTTTTTTTTTTTTTTACATGGCATGTAATCTGATTAATCTATTACTAAATTAGTTGAAGATTATTTCATTAATCAAATAATCCGAATAATTAATTTAATTATTTCCGCCCTAGTTACAGCCACACATTTTAATTTATTTTAGTGGGATTTTATGTAATAGACCAACAAAAGTATTGGTCCAAAAGAATTGGTCTATAAAGTGGAATAGAGTGTAATAATAATAATATTAAAGTTACATCCTTTCTATTTTTCATAAAGTCCTAGAAAGGAATATATATTCTGCGCTGTTGTCCAGTAAGTAAAATCCATTGTAACCAACTGCCTTCAGAAGTTAGCTAAAGAAAATGTGGAGGAGATTAATAGATATTATTATTACATTTGTGAGGCATCAAATACTTCCTGCTTCTTCTGTTTGAAGCTCTGTAGTGCCCTCTTCTGGAGACTGTAGGTAAAGATCAAATGTTCAGGGGTTTTTTTTCCTTCAGAATTAAGCACTCTTATAATTCTGTAAGACATGTTGGAGGAAAAACAGATAGCTGTATGAATTTTTTACATAAACAAATATATCAAGTGTATTAAAACCAACTATTATGGAATCCAGGCAGCAGGTTTCCCTCTCATTGATGTCAAATGTTATCTTTCTGTTGATCTCAATATTGTAAGCTTTTAATGTCACTTTTAGAAACATGGGAATCAACCTTGCTTGTTTCCCAAACTTTTATCCAATAGATCAATGGCGTCCGATTCCTACCCAGCAAGTCCTAACCACCCGGTTAGCCAGGCCCCGAGCGCCCCCCATCCCACTGACCACCATGCCAGGGATCACCTAGCCACCCCCCAGACACAGTCGCTTGACCGTGTCCTGAGGCCTGCCAACCAGCCCCCCGGAGCTGCGGGAGCCGGACCTCCAGGTCGACATGTCGCCTCACTAGGCAGGACCCCATCAGCACATGGCGTCCAGGCTGGAGGAGATCCAACAGTCAATGGCCCGAGGCAGCAGTCGATCAAGGACTACCGAGCTGGGCACGGGTAGGCCTGCTTATGTAATAGAGCCACTCACATTGTGAACAAGATGTCATAATATCTTTGATTTAATTTCAATATCTGTCCCTACACTGAGGAAATAAAGCTTTTCATTCTCTCAATATTTGGTTGGTTTCCCTTTCAGTCCATGTAGAGCAAGGAAACAGACAGAGGTGTTTTCCCTGTCGTGTTTGGGTCTGAACACTAACATTCCCCTTAGTTCAGGTATCACCAATGTCGTTCCTTGATGGCCATTTTCCTAAAGGTTTTAGAGGTTTCTCTGCTAGCACAGCTGATTCTGATGAATGGAGCTCAGCAAAAGCCTGTTAATGAACTATCAATGTAAATCAGCTGTGCTTGAGCAGGGAAACCTCTAAACCTCTAAAACCTGCAGGACAGCGCCCCTCGAGGACCGACTTTGGGGATGTCTATCCTAGTTGATTAAATTCCCATTGGAAAACATTAACTATCATTCATATCTGACATTAGAACCTGTCCTGACTAATTACATCTCATTTATTTACTCTAAATACAGGGAAACACAATCATGTCTTATGATGTTTCTGTAAATGACCCAGAAATGAAATCAATAATTCAGATCTGATTCATTATTTCTGAAATTGATCAGTACTAAGCCAGATGTCTCTCTCTCTCATATTAGTGGGCAGCCTTCCACCATCCCAGAGTACTACATTCCCCCGGCCCCTCCCCCACCCCCACCCACCATCCCTTCCGCCCAGACCGCCTTCGACTCCGCCACCGCTCCGACGTCCGCTGGCACCACCACCGTCCCCCCCACCTCTTCTGCCCTCTCCTGCCACTACTCCCCCTCTCCTCCTCCTCCCCCGGCCAACTACGTTCCCTCACCCGCCCACCCACCTTCAGGCGCACCCCCAGCCGCCCCTCCACCCCCACCCCCCGGAGTCCCAGCGGGACACCAGGCTCACCCTTCCCCTGCGCACACTGCCGTTGGCCAAGCAGCCGTGGATTCGGCACCGACCAGGAAGTCCACCATGCTGGGGATGATCCCAATGAGCGACGCCCGCTCCGACCTGCTGGCCGCCATACGTAGAGGTAAGAGCGTCAAGAATCTTCAGATATTTTTACATAGTTATCGTTAGAGGCGAGCAGCCAATAATTTTACTCAAATGATTTGCACTATTTCAACATACTTTTACCCAATTAGAAGTAAGAAGTAGGTTTTAAAGAAGTTACTCAACTTAGAATAATAAATTAATTAGGAAAAACGCTACTCAATTACTGAGTCACTGACATCTGAAATAATGTAAGTTTACAAAACATATACTTATCTGCAAATTTTTAAAAATGAGATAAAAATAAAAAAAAAACATACATTTCAGTAATTAAACAATAATTTCAGGTGGAACAAACTCAAGATATTCTTTTACCTAAATCGCTGACGTCATTATTGGCAATATTTTATGTATTTTGGGTAGAATATGGTAATTACTTCCTGTATCATTAAACATGAAACCATCTGCTTTCTTTTCACTCGACCTCCAAAATAACATTAAAACAAAGTAGCTGCAGTAAAAACAGAAATCTCACTTTGACCTTAATTGTACAGTAGGCGTTTAAGTGATTGTTTGTCAGGGAACAGAAGTACATTTTAATACAGCATGGATATCCTGTGGTATAATAAGATTCGCCCTCATAACAGCATTATGGTTTCCTATAATGGGTTAGCTAACCACACAGAAGCCACACAAAAGAAGTGAAAATCAATATACCAAAGTCAAAATGTATGTTTTTTTTCTGGATTGAAACCATTAATTTCACTATAGCTTAAAAATCTCTCACCATGGAAAAAAATCTACCGAAACAAACGTTTTCCATGTAAATATCTACTTCAGCTCAAAGGTGATAGTGTCACATCCCTACACTTTGTCTTTCACAATGACGTTACCTCATTAGCTGTTTATTTTTAAAGTTGTGGCCAGTGTTGTAACACGATAAGCAAAGTTAACCCTTTATAGGGCACTCAGTGAAATACTTTGAAAAATCAACATTTTAAGCCATAGTGTTATTATTGCCTTTGTAACATTAAAAAAATATGGATATTTTGATGGCAAATATTGATGTCAATGTAATAAGAAACGCCAACTTGCCCGAATATATTAAGAAAAATAACAAAAGTATAAGAAATTTATTTGAAAAACATTTTTTTGGTCCAACATAACCTTAGAGGCATTAATGCTGATACTGGCACTTACATTTTTTTAGTTTATAAACCTCAATATAATTATTACTAGGCTTATTAAATGTTTAACATTACTTTTTAGCTTTTCAATTAGCTTTTTACCTTTTTTCTTGACTTAACTTTTTTTTTCAACGTCATTTATAGAAGGTAATATATCATTCAGGGGTTCATATAATTGGTCAAATGCCAAAATAAGATGTACAGCCATGGATCTTTGCTGAATGGCTGGATGTAGATCTTGTGTTTCTAGACCTCACTGAGGGGCAGGGGGGACTCCATTTTTAAGGGGTATGCAAGTTATCAAAAATGGTAATTTGCCCTATAAAGGGTTAAAGAATATAAATGTCTGCAGTCTGTAGGCAACTTGGTATACTTGTAGTGAAATGTCTATAATATCAAATGGAAACAATTATAAAAACTTTGAGACCTTTCAGGTTATTAAGCTAGTAAAAAGAACTATACATCAAGTTTGACCAAAATGAAATATTGGATCAGACAAAAGTCTTTCCCTTATTAATTAGGACATTAGTCCTATTTGATTGGATTACCAGTGGAAAATGTGGAATAAAAACAAATTTAAATTTAGCTTTTCTGCATCCATGGTTCAAAATATAATTTTTTTACTTTATTTGAGTGAAAAAACATCAGTTGAAATCATATAAAAATTGGAGCTTGAATAAAACTGATCAAATTTGCCTGTAACAAGTAAAGTGAGTATTGGTAAGGCGTGCAATACGATACGCATCAAGATAATCTGGTCAGGATAACATACAAGACGCATTGAATAAGTAATGCCCCTGACCCACTTCCACATGTTTGATCGACCTTAAATTTTGCATGTGAAATTATTTAAATCTCTATAGATGAAATAATAAATTACAGCTCTGAACTAATTGTGGTTTCTGATTTACAGCTGTTCAAACTGAGTCAAGTCTGTGTTTTTGCATTTGAAAGGACGCACACAATGGGAGACTTTTGATCAAATGAAAGTAACTTATAGTGATAATGTTCCATAATATAACCTTATAAAATGTTTTGCAAGGTCATATAACGGGCATCATCACCATAAGTTACTTTACTTTCATCAAAAGTCTCCCGTGGTGCGAGTCCTTTCCAATAGAAAAACCGGATCGCTGCTCGACACTCAACAGGCTCCATTTCAGACTTTACTCAGTTCAAACACATGTAAGTCAGCAACCACAAATAGTTCATAGCTGTAATTTGCTAATTAATCTATAGAGATTTAAATAACCTCACTTGCAAAATTTCAGCTGGGTCAAACATCTGGAAATGTGTCAGGGGCATGACTTATTGAACGCCCCTCGTATTGTCATGATATTGCAATATCGCAATATATTGTAATAATCTATCCAACAAATATCAAAACTAATGTTAAGATTAAAAAAGGAAGCGCTTTATATGTTCATCAGAAGATATCAATGATCTAGTTATCTTGGTAGCCATATTGTTTGGGGTTTGATTCAGTTAATTGTGATTAATCAGTGTGCGGGACCAAACTGAAATAAGGACACAAGGTGTTCAAAAATTGAAAATAAAACTTTTATTTAATAATTTCAAAAATAATTAGCAAAGGTTCAAAGGCCATACAAAATAGCTTAAATAATAAATAACATGGTTTTGGGCCCAACTCAACTGAGGTCAACTGAACAGTAACTCAAACCAAAAACTGACCTACTATAAAAAACAGAGGCTGCTTTAAATAAGGGTAGAATAACCTAAACTTGCAACATGAGGGGGGGCAGAATATAATAGAAGAGCAATAAATCAAAAATATCCATACAAAACTAAAACATATTAAATAAATAAAACAACTCTTTAACGTGGCACAAATAAGTGAATATTAAGGTGACAAAATAATTATGGTCAAAAAATCAAAATATCCCCCTCAGTTCTTTGGGAAAGTGGTTTGTCCCTGGCTTCCACCTCCAGTTGATCTGTACTTGTAGAACCTCAAAAAATAAGAAGTGTGAGTTAAACCATTCAGAAATATTAACACTATTAACACACAATCAGATAGTTTGATTTAATTTATTCATGCATGTTTATATTTACAAAAATAAACGCTCACATAGCGGCTGAGCTACATTGGAGTTAAATCAGGTCTCCTTAAGAAGCTATCCAGTTTATGGACAGGAGCCTGTGTACATAATAAGAGTCATAGAGAGGAAGTTTAGAGGAGGAAAAGAAATCAAGATTAATCAGCAGAAACACTACAGGTAGACTGATTTCACCAGGCCTCATTGCTCCTCCCATCCCTGTCTCCTTACAGGCATCCAGCTGAGGAAGGTGCAGGAGCAGAGGGAGCAAGAGGCCAAGCGGGAGCCTGTTGGCAACGACGTGGCCACCATCCTGTCGCGTCGCATCGCGGTGGAGTACAGCGAATCCGACGACGACTCAGAGTTGGATGAGAACGAGTGGTCTGACTAAAAAATGAAAGAAGAAAAAAATTAGATGGGAGGCTGGACTGGTAGTGCTTACAGAGACCATTAAGGGAGACAAATGTTCCATCGAGTTTGTAATGAAGGGACCAGATTTGAAGGTTTGCATCGTAACTAAGAGGTTAAATAGATGAACCATTTGTTTACACAAATTGCTGGGTGCGGCTTGCGGAAGGCCGAGCAACGGGTTGATATTTTCAGCATGCATGGTTGCCCCTCACAACGCCTCTTCTTGAACTTTAGAGGCTTTTGTGTCAGACCACCTGTGGTGTGAGGCACAACAAACACACCTTCCATCTCTGCAGCCTACCGCTCATTTTTAACCACAAACACGGAGCTGTGAAAAAAAAACAAACCCATAAACATTTCCCCACCCACACATTCAAAGTGGTAATTATCAGCAATATGTAGGCAGTGCCCCTTGTTAGTAAGGGCTTTTGTGTTTACAGAACACATGGTATAGCACAAGAAAGATTAATGATAGTGCAATTTTTACTTATCTGCCAAATGTTCCAGGAGAATTTGTGAAAACAATTCAGGAGAATCAGGGAAAATGATAGTTTATTAGAAAATGACTGTGCCTGTTTAGGAAACATGCACATTATTGTTATAAATGCAAACTTTTGGGAGTTTGGTCCTACTGACCAACGTCCAACTGAAGGATCCGCACCAACGCTCTCTAGGGGAAGTTGTGCACATGTTCCTGTTGGATGTTTAACATAAGAAATAACATCAGCTGCACTGTTGATTTACATTCCATAAAAATGTTTATTTAAAACCACACCTGAATAAGCAATTCGTAGGTAGGTCAAATTTTAAATTTTTTTTTTCCTCAGTGCTTTTTCTAAATGTTTCCTCAAAATTACACTTTCTTTTCTCCCAACTTCCCGTAACATGGCACAGATCTTTATGAACTGCCTTTTAGGGGCTAAACATTGTTGTCCAGTGTCGCTGCTGGACCTCTGTGTCTTCCCCTCAAAAGTGTTACAAAGCTTTTAACAGTCTTCATAATACTTTCAAGTCCTCAGATTCAAAGTATTTCACTTCTTTAAAGCCATTGTTATGCATTGAAATGCCCTTTTTAAATCTTTGAATTACTTCATCATAAATAGCGAGATAATTAAGAATCCTTATTATGCTTTTTTATAAACCCTTAATGCTATTGAACTATTCTAAAATGATACTTATAAGTTAAGAAGGAACTTTAACTTTGTAGACAGTTGCCACAATAATTTCCAGATCATACTTTTTTAGCAGAGTTCTTTATCAACTACATGCAAGTGGCGTATCTACCACTTTTATATCGTTAATTTATATTAATTTATATTGGAAACGATTTGCTACCATCTAGTGGTCATAGTTGAGTCCCATTTTGTTTAATCTAGCTAAAAAAAGCCCAAATTCATATCTAATTTTATGTGCTACATTCACTTGAAAAGAATCACGTCTTAAGTTCTACTTTTTTCAAGTAAAAACACATATTTCTAGTTATCAAGTGCCACACAAATTCAGACAAATGACACTAAGGCACAGTCTGAATACCTCTAATAAGGGTAGACACAAAATCTATAGCAGAAGTGTGTGAGTGGACGCCCTAATGAGTGCTATCTGAATAGTGCAAACAGAGGAAGCAGGACGTTTCTAACCACTGCTAACAGCTATACAGTTGCGCAAGATCCTTTGTGTGACTGACAGTATAGGCAGAGCCAACCTCGTCAAATTAAAAAGGTTTTCGTAATGTGTTCTCTGTGTCACACATACAAATATACCCACCTTCATATGTTCTGAGTTTTATGAAAAGAGCACTGTGCACTACATTTGTGTAACTTCAGATTTTAGTAGTTCCCTTTCCAGAAAGCTGTAGTCCCAATTTGATCAGCATCATATATGTCTGTATCCACCACATCATGGTGTCTGTAAGGCTGAAGGCTGTCAGGAGCTCCTTTCTTGCCCTGGATACAGTTCTTTCTGTTGACCCCATGAAAGGTGAAGGATAGGAGCTACGAACAGGAGGTAGGAGCTAGAATTTAAACTATTTGGATCGATCCTCAGGTTTTAGCCCTGATTAACAGCCACATCACTCATCTACCTATCAGCGATTTCCTATGCTAATATAAAGCTCTAAAAAAAGTTATACGACCTCTTTAAGATTTTGTTTATATATCTATATTTTAAAATGCATACATTTAGTATTTATTTTGGAATTTCATTATTACACTGCAAAAAATTGAAATCTAAATAAGTCATTTTTTCTTGCAATAAGTGCATTTTTTCTTGAATTGAGGAGGTAATTGAGACACTTTGCCAATGGAACAAGCCAATTTACATTTAAAATAAGAAAACACAATTGCATTGTCTTATTTCAAGTGAATATTATCTAATTATCTTATTTTAAGAATAAAAATACTCATTCCATTGGCAAATTATCTTATTTACCTACTCAAATTAATGGTAAATACACTTAATTTAAGACATTTTTTCTTCATTTTTTAGATGGTTTTTGCAGTGTAATAAGAACAATGTTTTAAGTTCTATTAATTAGAATCAACTGTGTTTTTTAAGCTATTATCTGTCATCCAACTAATTGCTTTGTTTAATCTTGTGCTATGACAAAACGAAAAGTTTTATTTTTATTAGAGGTGGACAAAGAAATTAGGAAAACTTTGGAGCCAAGCTCCAAAAAGTCGGTGTAATTCTTAATTAATCCTTTATGATTGTTATATAGTGTGGTTCTCCCATTGAGTTCACTCTACTGTGTAAACTAGCCATCATTACATTGAGGTGGGATTTCAAGCATCACCAGCCTTGTTCAAGTTATTATCCTGCCTACATATCATTGCTTCAACCAGAGAAATTATTTAGTCAGCTTATCCTGCTTTAATTTTTTCCCCTTTGTTATTCATTCTGAACTCAGAGCTGAATAGTCCAGTCTGTGACTGTTTGCTGTGGTCTTCTATTAATGCTTCAAGGCTAAAGCACATCCAGTTCATCGTCTTGACGACATCTCCCCCACTTGGTTAATGCCGATGCTTTCTGTGCGGGGTTTGTGAATTATAAATACATACGTGTAAGAGACTTGCAACGCTAATATATAGTATAATATCTCTTCTCTCTCTTTTAAATATAGCTTTGACTAATCCTCAGTGTGAACTGATTGGACGGTAGTGTTTCTATGATGTGCTTTTTACTTTACCTGAAAAAAAAAACAGAAGTGCTGCAGTGAGTCGTTTGCTTTATTTTAGGGTTATTTTAGGTGAGGCGCCAGATGACAGAGTGGAAGAGAAGCCAGCTCAAAAGGTTTTCTTTCTTCGCAGATGTGACATCATCCCAAGCAGAGACAAATGAGCTTTTGAAACTACAACCTTATATTAGATTTTACATCAGAAGTAATGGTGATAAGCGCAGATGTATTTGAGGTTAATTTATTGTTTTTTTTTTGTAAAACACTACTTTAGTTTGTAAGGCTATTTTAAAGCTAGTTGAACAAGACTATTGTGTCGCTTTGCTTTGGGTTATGCCAGGTTTTATGGATGAGTTATTTTCTTGATGTATATAAACACAATAGTTGGCTTACTCATAATTTGCACTCTATGAAGAATACAATCACATCTGGATTAAGGACTGAATGATTCGGTATGTGGATGAGTTCTTGGTGTTCTCCCTACAAGTCTGAAATAAGATTTTTCAAATGTGCCATCAAAGCAACACGGGGGGGGAGCACACATAAACAGCCAGCGTGGATTTCCCACACAGCTTGGTGAGAGTTAACTTATTTTTTAAAAATACAAAAAGGTTTTATGTCGTAGCAGAGAAGTCAGACGCCTGGAATCTGCGATATCCTCCAAATCGTTTCCTCGATGGTTGTGTTGTTGTGCAGTAGTCATGGATACACACTTCTCTATTTAACCGGTATCTGTGCATTAAAAAATCTCTCTGGATAGAAGAATGTAAAACTTGACTCTTTTCAGTGATAAATTACTGCACTCGTCAATAAAACCAGATACAAAGCAGCTAATGAGACACCAGTAAAAATCTCCAAACACCCATACCTTGTGTATCTATGGCTTCTGGCTTTTCAGAAAATGTTCTTCTGTGTTGAAACTGTGACAAAATGAAACATGTATAGAGTTTTGGTAAGGCAGCCTTTGAGGTTAAATGCATTTGGTTTACTATAATCTAAACAATAACACAAAATGAAGCTGTGTATTGCACACTAAAATCAGCTGTAAGCAAGTATGCATGTGACTATAGTCAATAAATAGTGAGTAAAAAAACATATTGTGTCCTTTTTCCATCTGATTTAATCACGTCTTTATCTTTGAAGGTTGAGATATCAAAGGCACCTCGACCGAAGTATATCTTTTTTTTTTTACTGCTTTATGCTCTAATTATTTATCCTCTGGAGGGAGATCAAACTGCTTTTCCATATTAGTTTATTTGGTGGCTTTGGCATCTGACGGGAAGGCTTCCACTGGATCACCCGTTGCCAGATTGCACCGAGAGGAGACCCCAGGATAGACCCAGAATGGAGGGACTATGGATCCCTTATGGATGGCAATGCCTTTGGAACCATTAAACTGGATCATCGAGGAGAGGCTTTGAGATTCCCTCATGGACCTTTTACACCCCAAGACCCAGAGTTTGACACAAATTATAATAAACGTTTTATTTTTAGTTTTATTTTAACCGTGAAATGTCTTAACTGACCTTACTATGGTGGTCGACAGGTTCAAACTCACAACAAACAGCTAAATGCGCCAAAAATGGTGGAAATGTGCTGAAAACAAAAGGTGGATGCAATCTGAAAAACACAAATGTTACAGAAGAATTAAAGAAATGAATTATATTAGTGCATAGTTGTTACTTTAAGCTCCCAAAATACTCCTTCTCTTTTCCCCTCCACCATCAGGTCATTAGTCATGGACGTTTTTTTCAAAGGAAACAGCCCGAACCCTGAAAAAGTGACAAAAACAGCCACTATTGCTCAGCATTACCAGCAAAACGCAGTGGTGACGTAAATGGAGCAATCATTGCTCCAATGTTCCCGGTGCCTCAGTCAGCTCTGGCTCCTCTCCGCTCTGCGCCTTGGCAGGGTGGAGGTGGAAGCTACGGGTGCTCTTTCCCATTTTTGGTACACATATGGTGACACAGCAGAGAGGGGAAAATGGACACAGAGAGGTCAGCGGCGGAAGCAAAAAGAACACTTGCATTTCACAAAGAACAAAGTGCATGACTCATTCTTTTGTCTTTGTAGGGCGATGAAGAGGTTATGGAGTCTGGAAGACTATTTCCTGGGAATTTAGTTCTGACTTAATCTCAGTTTGGAATCAACAC